TAAATGGATAGATAGGTGAAAATAAAGAGAAAGAAAAGTTTGATTCGGAGCAGTTTTAACATTGCGGCGAAGGGGAGGAAAAGAAACAGTGTCCTAATTGTTGGGTCTTTTTTTTCACATGCACACTGATAACATCTGAATTAATTATATAAAAAATTAATAATTTTTTTTATCTAAAACTTTAAAGTAATGGATTATATATTATTCTATTTTTTTATTTTTATATAAGACTTAAAATTCTTGAATTCCATCACCGATGGATACAAAATAGGCATTATTTTCGTTGATTTTTTATTTTTGTTAAAAGTGTGATCTCTCACATTTATGGAGCTCACGACTCAATCAATCCATCTGTGTGGGACCCTCAGCCCCACGTGCTCTCCTCCGCTATTGTAGACCTGGTCGTCTTGGAAACACCACATACAAAGAGTGTATGTGATGTGACTTAATTTTTTATTTTTTCAAATTTCAGCTATTTTATCGAAAATATCTTTAATTGCTGGCAAATGAAAATTCCACTCTCTAACAAGCATAAAGGCACGATTTTTCATTTTATATCTTAGTTTTCTTAATAATTTTGTAAGATACTGCTAAACAATTAGAATATACGAGCTAGATCAAAATATTTTATTGCGGAAAATTAATATAACTACCAGTTGTCTTCTTAAAATGTACTATGTATTAATTTAAATAAGATAAATAAATTGAGACAAGGATCTAGCATATAATTCAACAGACTAGAGGGCACGTGCCCGTGGTTCCCACACGGTTCCCGTTGGTTCCTTTCTAACGCACGTGTGCAAAGTCTTACGCCCTACCTTATTTTATTGCTCTTACTTTTATTATTATTATTTGTACCGTCCGTAGTCTTCACATTTATTTAGTTTGGATATGTCTTTATGGGACAAAATATCAAATAAATGTTTATATTGAAAATCATCCAAAACTTAATTTGATATTATTAAATATCATATTTTCAATAAAAACATTTTAAATTTTCCACCCAATATCTTTAGGTTACTAATGAACAGTTTCCAATTTTCATTTATCACTGATCAAACGCTTTTCTTGGACATTACGTGTTTCTTGAATGGCAAGTTTTGCAGTTAGTCAAGATTTGAAAAATAAACAAACATAACGGGAGGAGTTGAAGAGTAGTAATCACTTACAATTTATAATAATTAAGTTTCCTAGGTTTGACTAACAATATATTTTAAAAAATCAGTTTTATCAAATAGAATAATGTATACTATACATACTTTACAATATAGTTGTGGTTAACCATGCACGGTCACGGAGTACCATGTAAAATGATAAGTAAACTACAAAAAAAAAATTAACAAAGAAAATAATTATATTAATTCTAAATTAGGTTATTACTATTTGAACTTTAATTAAATTATCATTAATCAGAAATTCATCTCAAAATTTATAAATATAGATTTAAGTTGTGAATTATTTTTTATTACGCATTTATTATTAGAGTTTTTCAATAAACACTAACTTTAATATTAAAATGTTTTTTTTCAAGTAACACCGACTCAGCTTATCTTTTAAGTAACATCTCACTTAATCAAATGATAAAGATAAAATATTTAAACTTGTAATTTAAATATTATTTCCGAACGAAGACTTAACCTCGACATACAAATAATTTGTATTTTAAAGAATTTTATATTTTTTAATTAATAACAATCTTCTCCATTTTTATAAAAGAGTAAGAAAAGAAAAAGGAAAGCATGAGTATTTTGGTTTTGGCGAAATTTATTTAAAGAAGAATCAGAAAGACAAAACTAGGTTTTTTTAACGAGGAGGAGAGGAAAGGAAGAGAAAGATATGAATGTTTGGTTTAGATTGGTTGGTTGAATTCATGGAGGGGAGAGAAGAGAGGAGTGAGATCCATTTAACATAATTAAAAAAATGAAGAGATACGGAAAAGAAGATAATAGTAAGATGATTTATTAAGAAAGAGGCATGAAAGTTAGTCAAAGTTAATTTGTATTTGTGATCTAAAATCGAAAGGTGTGTTGAGGAATTGAAGTTTGAACAACTCTGGAAAATTGACTTGAGGAAGAGGGCAGAAGAGTGAAAGTGAATCAGAAATCATGAGAGCATCTAATCTCGTGGGTACTGTACCATGAAAAGAATGGATTGGCGCGCCGAGCCGTGGGAATCCTCTGTATGTGCCAGAGAGAGAGAGAGAGAGAGAGAGAGGGACCGCATTGTAGTGTTACAACCACACCGGTCGACACGTCAAAGGTGGTCCCCCCAACCATTTCAGTTTTTTCCCAAGTCCCACCCACGCTGTGACTTTCTTTATTATGGGTTTCTGTGTCGCACGTGTGGAGCCGACTCAACTCTCGTTGGATGGGTCCCATCCCACACTCTCTCATTTCCTGGTTTGTCCGTATCTGTGCTCCTTCCAACTAAACATCACGTCACGTCAGACCAATCCCCAATTACCGGAGAACGGGGCATGTTCCCAATCATCGCCTTCTTCTTAATTCGTGTCTGCCTATACCATACTGATCAAACTTAATTTAATTTAACTATTCAAATAAACGCTGCTTTTTACTATTAATTATTCACGGTATACGGTTGGAGAGAAGTATATTATATATCCATCCAATCCAACAGGATGCATGAACCTTTGGCACGGGCAGTGGGACCATCCACACATTATACGAACTGGTGTGCAATAATGGGGGAGGTGTTTACGTGTTTCGTTTCACGTGTGAACGTTTTATATTTATTCTGAATTGAAATTTATGGTTATTCCGTTTGGTCATAAATAATTTATATGACGGAGTATTGTCTAAAATGATATAAAAATGAGAAGCGATCGTGCACTTCTTCTGGGTTTTCCGGTATTAATTGAAACCAATATAGACAACGATAGGGATGCGTATATCTACACGGGTCCCATTTTGGGGGCGGTTCTGATCCGAAACAAATTTATTTTATTTATTTGCATGTGGGCTGCAACGTTACTTTGACCCGTCTTGTTACTGTACAACACTACTACCAGTAATTGTACCACCACCAAATTTTTGGGTGGTTTTCTTACCAAATCAACGTGACAAAAGCAGAAGAAACAATGTTTACATGATACCCAGAGTCGCAAATCACATATAAGAAATCTCTGTCAGTTTTGTTTGTAAATTTCGATTCCTTCCATCAGTATATATATTTTTTTAACTGACACTGCTGTCCGGAACATATTCGTTGAATATTTTTATATTTTAATGTGGCGTGGTGTGTGGCGGACCTAGGGTATAGGGCACCTCACCATTAGGTGTAGGGAGGGCCCCCCTGTATTTGGTATGACTCATGTGGGGAAGTCCTCGCCGCAGAAGTGGACTGTGGTATCCGTGATTGAGCTACAGGTCTACACTGTAAGGATGTAAGGATGCTAATTTCTAACCAACATCTCATGTGCCTTCCATGAAGGGAAGGTGTGTTAGGTCACCCATGCTATATTTCCTATTTCAACAAACTTCATTTTCCACGCCACGCCACTTAAAATCAAATTCCACCACCATTATATTACATTAATTTCATTTTACTTCAAAACATCACAACCATCCTACCTTTTTAATTCATTTTCCTAAATTTCCTTGCATTTACTATTTCACTACTTCCTCGTCACACTGTTACTTTTTTTATGCTGCCCAGTCCTATGGGCTCCACGCGTTCCAACTAATTGTTTGAGCATCCTTTTATATCTTTTAGGCCCTGTTCTTTTGAGTGGATTTGAGAGGATGGATTTGAGGGGATTTGAGAGAATTTGAAGATAATTTTTTTTGTCGTTTATTTGAGTGAATTTGGAAGTAAATGAGAGTGAATTTGGAAATAAAATTTGTGAGAATTAGTATAGATTTGTATTGACATGACAAATTAAAAAAAATGATTTCCAAATTCACTCTCATTTACCTTCAAATTCACTCAAATAAATGACAAAAAAAATTATCTTCAAATCCTCTCAAATCCCCTCAAATCCATCCTCTCAAATCCACTCAAAAGAACAGAGCCTTAGTGTATTCCAGCCTGAACACCTTGTTTGTTTTCGGACAAATTTAAAAGAAGTAATAAAAAAAACTAGAGACAAACTTTTTAAGAAAATGTAAAGAACACAGATGTTAATAATTTATTGTAAAGATTTGCAAATTTATTTCAACCTATCACCGAAGAAAAAAAGACACGACATAATTAGTAGAGATTGAATTCTTTCATCGCGTTGATTAGTATTAACTTTTAATCACGTGCATTGAAAAACATAATCCTATGCGAAAGAAAAAAAGCTCATTTACGTGATATTTATAACAAAATCATTTTCGGATTTGTACGTTTGGTGTATTACTTGTGATTCTTTTGAAACATTTCTCATTAGTTTTGAGTAAGAAATTATTTTAAACATAAAGAACAAATCCAAATTCACAGTTAAATGGAAAAGCTAAATAAAATTATATTTCTTCAAATTATGGATACTTTTTATCACGTAGGTTTGTAATATTAATAATTGGCAAATAGGAAAAAGAAATGAAAATATGTATGCACACAAAAGGATTCTAAATTATCCCAATCAACTTTTTTTAACAATCTTCTCAATCATTAAACAAACATATTAAAAATTCGAATGAATTTAATGTGTATATTTCTGTTCAATTTCTATTAATTAAATACTAAAACCAGGATATGTTTTTCCTGCAGTTAATTAGGATTTGATTAGTAAATTAAACTATATAAAAAACGTATTGTTGCTTAGTAGAGTATTAGTTAGAGAACTTAACGGCTTATCCTTAACGGTATAATATGTAGTTTGGATCAAATAAAAATGCAGAGTGTCTTTTGTAAATATATATTGAGAATGTATTAAGAGCCATTTTTATCATTACCAGTATGGTAATATTATTCATCTTGATCCCCTTGCGTGGGGTCCGTGTCTCTTCCGTTCTCCTACGTTGTATGGATGGGAAGAATATATATGTGGTAGTGAAAAGGAAAAGGAAAAAGAAAATAGAGTTAATGAAGTGAAAACTACGGCAGTGTGAAAAGGGTGGGAGAGAGAAGAGAAGAATCTAAAAGGGAAGCAACCTTTCCATTTCCTCTTCTTCATCTGCAATACCACAAAGAAACTTGAATCAACCTCGCCTAGGTTTTGTTCCGGTCACATAGGCACAAGCATACACACAATTTCTGTACTTCTTCTGACGTTCAGAGGGAAGCGGAGCGGGCTAGTGTTGGCCGGAACGATGACCGGAGGCGGATCGACGGGAAGGATGCCCACGTGGAAGGAGAGGGAGAACAACAAGAGGAGAGATAGAAGACGGAGAGCGATTGCTGCCAAGATCTACGCCGGCCTTCGAGCTCAGGGTAACTACAAGCTTCCCAAACACTGCGACAACAACGAGGTCCTCAAGGCTCTCTGCTCAGAAGCTGGTTGGATCGTGGAAGAAGACGGCACTACCTACAGAAAGGTAAAACTCGATAATCACTCGTCTCATCACATCACAGGCTCAGATCTGCGATCACTCTTTCTCCACGATAATGGATAATTAATTATTACCATTTATGTTGACACAGGGATGCAGGAGACCCACGGGAAGTGAGATTGGAGGCACTCCACCCAACATAAGCGCGTGTTCTTCGATTCAGCCAAGTCCACAATCTTCGTCATTCCCGAGTCCAGTGCCTTCCTACCACGCTAGTCCAACCTCTTCCTCCTTCCCCAGCCCCACTCGCATTGACGCAAACCCCTCTTCCTTTCTCATCCCATTCATCCGCAACATAACTTCAATCCCCGCCAACCTTCCCCCTCTCAGGATATCCAACAGCGCCCCTGTCACCCCACCTCTTTCCTCTCCCCGAACCTCCAAGCGCAAGGCTGACTTCGATTCCCTCTCCAACGCTTCCTTCCGCCACCCTCTTTTCGCCACCTCCGCCCCCTCCAGTCCCTCGCGCCGCCACCACGTCGCGACTTCCACCATCCCCGAGTGCGACGAGTCCGACGCTTCCACCGTCGACTCTGCCTCCGGCCGTTGGGTTAGTTTTCAGGGCCAGACCGCCGCCGGTCCCCCTTCCCCTACCTTCAACCTCATGAAACCCGCTATACACCAGATCCCTGCTCAGGAGGGCGTACAGTGGGGTTCCGTTGCGGAGATAGGCAGAGGAGTGTCCGATTTTGACTTCGAGCATGGAAGAGTGAAGCCTTGGGAGGGTGAGAGAATACACGAGGTGGGAATGGATGATTTGGAGCTTACTCTCGGATTTGGAAAAGCTTGATTTGTTCTCGACAACCACCTTAAAGAATTACAGATGCAATTGCAATCCCCTCCATGTGCTATCTTCTGGGCAATTAATTGGTTGTTATGCTTATATTTATATATTTTCTCTCTAATTATGTGTACAGTGTCTCTTATATACCAGTTATTAGGTGTTCTATTACATCATGGAATTTGACTTCATTGTAATTCCTCGTTAATTGTTCAAAGGTTGCATTTGAAGCAATCTTCTCCAAGTGTTTACTTCAGACTTTAATCTTCACTTACTAAGACTCGGGAAAACTAGGTGATATTCTTAATTTCATCATCCTCTTATTCATTTTTAATGCTCCATTCTTGTACGTTGTTCACCGTTCTATTTCGACTCTTCAAACTTGTTGTTCTAAGATTCGGATGTGTGGGAGATATCAAGTGGTAAGAGGTGATATATACTGAGACGTGTTAATCTTTGATCATTCAGTAGTTTTTACATGGTGATCTGGGCATTTTTTGGAACATTTTTTTGTTTATACTATACCCATGTTTACTGCATCTTTTAGTTTATTTGCTTGATTAAGATTTCTTTGTTATTTTATCTTTTCTGTATTCGGTGTCTAAACTGGTGCATTGTTGAAACATGTTCTTCTATCATTTAATCTTAAGTATGCAGCATTTTTTAACAGAACGAGTCACGTATCTTTAACATGTTTCGTTCTCGTGGGAAATCAACGAGGCTTGCTTGTAAGCTTTATGATTCCTACCTTTGACAATATCATGGAAGCCAATTGGATATGCAAGTGATGATCTGTCTCAACATCGACTGGTAAGTAACTTTGCCAGATGGCTAAATGAAAAGTAGGTTTTGAGATCGACTAATAATATATTTATCCTCTTTTCTTTTCTGATGGAAGAATAGAAAAATTGTCTCTTTTCTTGTTCATTTCCCACCGTTTCCCTTTACTTGTCGCGTACAGGAAATTTCGTATCTAAAAAAAAATTGTAACATAAATTGGGGAGGGAGCCATATCATCTCCTACTCTGTATGAGGTGCGACCTTTTTTCCTTTGATTGAAGGGGATGTTTCTCATGGCATGATTCAGAATCTGTATGTTATTTTAATTTTGAATTTGATATTCAGTGGCATTATGATAAGTTCTTTTTATGACAAATTATGTTTATTTATCAAGAAGACTAATTTCTTTCACTGTAACTCTTCAACAAAGAAGACAAAGCATAAATATCGTTACTATAGGAATGCACTTTTATAACAGTCTTTTTTCTTAAAGATGTTAATTTTTTGTCTTTCTATATTTGATTTGTCATTTTTAAGAAACAAAAATTCGAGTTGTCGCGTAACCCAAATAAACGAAGGTAGTTAAAGGCGATGGTTTTTGCTGAAACAAAATTGTTGGTTGGAAGTGGACAATGTTTGACAGATTGGTAATTTGGTATTTCGAGCTTCTTCAACTGTGGAGCTGAATCTAAGTGTTTGCATATCATGTTTGAATGTCAGTTTCTTTGTCAACCTTCTTAGTATGACAAACACTGAAGAGCTTGTGTATAAATGTGAGAGTCCTTTGCGGTTAAGATGTGCTTGTAAAATTAAG